AAGCCCCACAATAGGCTAGCAATAATGTAGTTCAAATTCGCCTTTGGTGAGAATCAAACTTAAGATCTCTCACTTATAAATAAAAAGGAATATCACTAGACCGTAGTACCAAGTGGCTCTTGTAATTAAAAATTACTAATTTATGTGATTAGTGAAAGATGAGGTAGCTATAGCCCAAGTCATTTCAGGGTCTTGATGACACTAATTAATCAACCTGAGTTATGGTAGAGTAGAAAGGTTAACTGCTAACACAAATCTCTTCGCTTCCTTTTCTTTTTCATGCATCAACTATTATGATGTTTAGTGAAAGATTTGAAATCTTTATCAATGGGACTATACAATCCTCGTTTCGACGCCATAATCCTCTAATGTGGCACTAGAAAACACAAACCTGATGCTAAGATATACGAACATAATCTTGAGTTTAAATTTAAGATGCCTTGGAAAGTGGGAGTTGAGTATGAAAGTGGGAGTTGAGCATGAAATATATACCAGCCTTCAGAAGAAAAAAGTAATACGAAATTTAAATCTTGTCCGTAAAGGATTGAATTTGAAATTTCTTCAATATTGCTAAGACACAAATTGATAAACTTATTCCCAAAATAACAAAATATAAAAGAAGCATAACCTTTTGCATATCATTGGCGGGTAAGCATTTTTGAATCCAAATTTTCTTAAATTTTAATTATACTAGTCAATTGGCATGTAATTAAGATTAACACTTTTGGTTGTTAACCACACCATAAACAATCCTTTTGAGTGAGACTCAAATATCTGTCGGTGAAGGGTGACCAAGGTATCTCAAATATCTAAATTGACGACAACATGCTGGTTGAAAGCTTGGCACTATGTGGCCTCCTTATCCTAATGTTCTTGAATCTTGGGGACCCATACAGTATGCCACATTCCCCTCCAATACGTGTGAAATTCATGATCCTCTCAGGGAAAAATTATTGTGTGTTAGTGCAATACAAGTGTTACTAGTTCACGTGCTATTTTTTATTCGATCATCGAGCTCGAATGTGTTAATTCAATCTAATTTTTTTTTTCACAAAACCGTTCAAAATAATATAAAATGAGTGGATGATAGATTTATACTAAAGGTCATATGGTATCAATGAACATATAAAAATAAGAATTGATTATACAACGTGAATGTCTTTGTTTTTGTTGTTCAAATTCAACAAAACACTAAATTTTCGTTAAACTTAAAACTTACAACCCTAGCTTGTTATACTTATTGATAAACATCGTGTTTCTCGATACATACAGACACACATATACATATACATATATATACAGAGATACATCTATACATATAGATACAATATATTAATTTATGTATATATAAGGACATAGTCGGAGGCTTCAGGTGTACATAAAGGAGAACTATTCAGACTTCACACGCAAGAAAAGACTATCTTGCATGACTCATGAGTTTCTATGTGCTACACTGCACGCTTAACTGTCGGCCGGGCATATATTTTTTGTTACATCGATCTCTCTTTCTCCATCTTTTTTCAAAACGAATAGGCCTGTCTATAGTTAGCAAAAGGTAAAAGAAGTCTTCTGTTTCAAGTATTAATGTAGTCTTATTGCTTTATGCTTTTTACCATATGCTTGATGATACAATTTTCTCTATATGAGAAACCTCAATAAGGAAATGCATTTAACTTATATGAAAAAAAATTCAAAAATATGTTTTATTGAATACAATTTGACATTCATGCGTAAATGATTTTTTTAACACATACAATATTATCTAGACTAATGGTAGGGGAGTAGACAAAGGCCGCCTCCAATAGTTTGGCCATATTTAAGCACTATTCCTAAATATAGCACACTAAAAATATAATTTTTTTAGCATATTGAAAATTACTAGGGTACAACTAATGGAGAATGACAAAGAGATAGAGGAGATGTCAAAAACACACGAGGCTTGACAGAAAAATGATAGAAGAGCAATGCTCAATTCTTCGTTACCATAAAATTATAATTCCAAATTGTCTCCTTTAGCATATCAAACTCCCTCCCTAATATACTAGTGTGCCAAAACATCTTCATCAATGCAAATACAACTCCCTAAGCCACTGAAACATATCAAATGACAATTGTTCCACCTAGCCACTTAATTTAAAACACAACTTACAATGCATCAAAATTACTACAAAACATTACATCACAACCTAAGATACATGAATCTCAAATTAATAATTAACGGAACGAATGAACACCAAAATACCAAAAACCCCATTGAATAAACTCCTTATTCACTACATCAACAACACTCACACATCAACTACTATGTATTGTTTAAATCAATTAAACTACTTTTTGTACCTATTTAAATATAATTTTTGGAACACATTGTTTTTTTTAAGAAAATGTATATCGAAAATATATATCTTTACAAACAAATATTTCGAATATGACCCATGTAAGATTGAGAACCATTAAATAAGATTTCTTTTTTTTTTTTGGTTTAAAATATATGTTTTTACATTTTCAAAATTAAAAAAAAAAGATATGAGCCTTTGGATTCAAACAGACATGTCATCTTGTGGACAAAAAGTTGCGGGTGCATGATTATACATGTAACCCACAGCACATAATTGTTGCCATGTGCTGTCCTATGTAGGGGTGGATTTTTTTGCCAAATTACTATGTCAACCGAATTGCCAACCGCACAATATCGATTTTGTGTCAAGCGGTAATGGCACATTATTGTACCGAACTGAAATTTTATGGTACGGTATTGGTATTCAATATCATTACCACGGTATTACCGTGCCATACCAAAGAATAATTTATATAATATATGATATATCTACATATTACTTTATCACCCTTAGCTTGCCTTTGGAGAAGTGTTTGGCCTCCGAAATTTGGTAGGCTGTTCTAAGATTTGATCACACTGTAAATAAAATATAGACCATTGATTTGATTTTACAAAACTCATAATTTATGTTTTAAGAAGTAACAAACATTATATTTTTAGTTTTTGAAGTTTAGATCCACTTTCAATTTTGTTTTGGTTTGAAACTTTAACTTCTATTTGGATTGGAAATTTCTATTTGATTTGGTTTGTAACCTTAATTTCCACCATGAATCTTGATGCATCATTTGATTTATTATGTGTGTGAATTGTGAATGATGACTGATATATAAATTTAGGCTACAATATATGAGAGAGTTATAAAAAAAGTCTTGCCGTTAAATTGGTTTGGAAAAAAAAAAGAAAATCAAATTTTGGCCCAAAAAAGTGGCACAAAACAAAGTAGCAATTACCATTACAGTGTCATGTCAACCGAACTATTTGGCATACCCAAATTCGGTATTCCAAAAATTTGATACGATAATAGTAATAGATTTTGCCAAACTAAAAATTTAATATGATAATTAGTATGGAGGTTTTGATATGATAATCATACCCAATCCACCCCTAATCCTCCTTCATGGGGCACAAGAACAGTGGTAGCCCATTCCTACAAAATGGTCAAATGCAGCAAGCCCCAAGGAATTGGACCTAAATCTTTTTGGGCAGATTCTTCTTAGCTCTCGCTTAGAGACGAATTTTATAAAAAGGGACTAAGTTAGCCGATAGCCTAAACCTCATAATGGATAACCATAATAATTTAGTTTGAATTTACTTTTGACGAGAATCGAACCTCATACATCTCATTAAAAGTAAGAAGAATACTACTAGACCGTAACATTAAGTAAAATTTATAAATTATTTGTTATAAACAAAAACAATAAGTTTTTGTATGAAAAAGAAAAGTTTATGCATACATATCAAACTATTTTTTTGTTTGTAAGGAGAATGACTCATTACCTCATTACACATAAGAAACTAGTATTTTCCGATAAAAATTAAAGATTTGTGCTTTTGGCATGGTTGATGTTATTTAATGAGAACATGTGAAGGATGGAAGCTAAGTACCTCTCGCATGTCAGTTTGCTTCTCTATGTGCCAAAGCCATACCTTGGAATAATATCCTTGGTTGGACAAAATGCACATGAAGGTGGCTATTTTTAGATACTGACTGTTGTGGTTGGATTTAGGTTTTAATTAATGTGATGCATTGAATAAAGGGAACTTTAACCAAAAGCACCCGGTACTGTTCACTTTAACGAAAAATCACATTTTTACACTAAAAAGTCAATCTTGGTACTATTCACTTTACCCTTTATTTTGTCCTTATCATTAAAACTCAAAATTTTCAAATTTTTTTCATTAGTTTTCCTTTGAATAAATCATGAGGAAAAAGGAAATTTTGCGAGGAGATAGAATGAATGTTTGAATGAACTAAGCATGTTACCTTGACAGTGACCTAATCAGTACAAATTGTTTTTTTGTTTGTTTTTTTTTTTTTAAGGACCAATTGGTGGCTTCGTCACGTCAATCTATCTTTTCGGGGGTCAGAAAGACTCATAGAAGCATTTCAATCTCCCCTCCTAGCCACCATTGTGTGATTCACCAGCACCGGGAATTGAACCCATAACGTATTGTGCAAAATACGAGACCATAATTCGTTCTCAACCACTAAGTGAATGACTAAGGTAAGAAATATCTCTGTTATTTGGGCTTTAATATTGGGCTCAACTTGAAATCCAAAGAAAAATACTTGTAACCCATTTTTGATATTTATTTGACAAATGCATTCAAATTAGCATTATCAAAATGAAGCCTGTATACTTGTCATCAATCCACAATGGCAAAACAAAAGCCCAAATATTAATCACATTTCCTCGAACACTTCCTTCTGCTTCATATATTTGTTGTAGATGTTTTTTCATTTGAGAACTGATTTTTGCACCCCCTTTTTAAGCCTATTTTATATTTATTTTTATTTCTAGTCATTAGATTAAATAAATCAAATGAAAACAACATACATGATTAAATAGAAGTGTGTAGAATGAGAAAAAAAGTGTGTTTTGATAATTTACCTTTTATTTTTAGACGATATTGGTATATTTTGAGTCATGTACAATTCCCATGAATATAGGAGGCTAACGAAGGAGCCTTAAAATCAATAGTCTTTTTGAGAATTTAATTCTTATTACACATTTATTTTCACAAATGTTCAAAATGCAGACCCTACAAAAAATGGGGCATAAGTTATGTCTCTCACTCTCACATTCTTTTTCATCCCGTCTTTACAAAAGATGAAATTGTCAGGGACACAGAAAAGATGGTCACTTTAAACCCAATGCTCTCAATTGCTCATCCACTGTCTCCGTCCATCCTTGGTCTTAGCCGAAGGCCACTATTGGAAACTGCAATTGGCTGTTATCATAAGACATGCCTCATCCACGGGGCCCTAACTGAAACCAAGTGAGTATGATACGTTCTTCAATAGCATACAGGACCACTGATGCAACATACTCCGTAAGAATAGTATAACACATGACATTACATCAATATTGGTTAGGAACGCTAGAGTATAACATACAGAAAATGTAGATAAGTCCTTCTCTAGAAGTAGAGCTCTTATCTTGATAAGAGATCAAGCAAAAGCTCATCCACCAAGTACTCTGACAAGGCAGTCTCTATTTCCAAAGCCAGCTCCTGTTGCTCAAACTCAAACTTGTTCCACCTCCTTCCTTTGTGCATATCTCTCACACAAGCTTCCTTGTTGTGCTCTAGTGATCCCCACTCCCCTCTCATCCAAGCTTTTGCTTTGCTAACCATTTCCCTTTTAAACTCATCATCTTTTTTATTTCGTTGTGCACTCATTTCTTCTCTAAAAAAATCAAACAATAGTTGATCTTCCACTATTTCCAGCTCCCAGCTCTTTAGGTCTGGGCAGCTTGCTTTGCAATGGTTTAACAGCTCCATTGCCCTTTCTGCTGTTTCATCATCTTCTTCAAAGTTGGCTCTTTCGTTGAACGACATTGATGTGTCTAAGTTGACAGGATCTATTGTTGCAAGACTCTCAAAGAGCTCGATCTTCTTCATAAGCATTTCTTTTGCCCCTGTTAAAATTTGATACAGTGGGTTAGCATCATACTTCAGAAAAGAAAATACAAATTGTGCAAGCAATCTGAATTATGAAATGTGATGATGTGATACTGGTACAATTGAGTTTATTAGACTGAACTACGAAAAATTTATTATTACACGGTGATTTTTGGTAGTTAATTAGGTCCTTAATTAGTCCCCGGAGCATACTAGAAAATCCCGACTGAAGTAATATGAGTGTTTGGTTTAATTTTCTGGTCAGTGCAACCTAGCTTCCATGTCAAGCCAGCTCTAGTGAATAATGAGTAATGATTCAACGCATGCTATAGAGAGAAAGAAGGAGGAAAACACGTACTCTCCATATTGGCCATGCTTTGACCAAAAGTACTTGAAAATGACGAGTCTTCATCTTCCCCAAATTGAAAACCAAGCACTGAAATTGGGCTCTGCTGCTCATCTTCTTCATCACACGGTTGCAGCTCAACCTGCAAATGTTCACATACCAAATCCAATTCAGTACATGATAGAATATAAATGCTTATCACGAAATTTGAATTTGATAGTAGACATTATCGTTGTATACAAGTGATATTGAAAAAAGAGAAACTACCGAACACAAAATCTCCAGTGTAAAGATGAACTCCTTTAATTTAGGCACAGGGATTGGAGAATACTCTATTGATCAAATATGTCACTAGGTAATGTACCTTTGCCAAGTGACAAAAGTGTTGTTACCCAAAGAGTGACTAAATCGCAATATTCAATTGTGTTGACAAAAAAGAAAAAAAATAGTGGCAGAAAGTTGATATGTATACTTGAGTGCTAAATCTAAACAATTAACATAAATACTTTGGGATCTAAACTCTTTTTTTAACAAGTTAACGATGACTTGTATTTGTCTGATATGCACTGTGCAACTTCTTGGCAACAAAATGAGATAGAAACAATTAAATATAATGCTAATCAAGAAATATTACATAAAATTAACAGCTGTCAATCATCTGTCTATGTGCAAATTGTGTTTAACAGAACTTAAGGAACACTGTCCTATGAATGTATGACTCATATGATTAACAGTAATGCTAGATAGACTAAATTTGTAGAGTTTTGTGTGTCACCACCTCCCACCTATCCTACGTTTGCTTTGGGTGCTCCTTCGGTTTTTTAGGACAAATTTGCAAATTAAATGATATGTCACTAATAAGAAATAAACACGTTAATCCATACTTAAGTAATAATTCAATCATCGACTTTCATATCATTTTGTTTACTAAATTTAATTTAAACATTTAGTTTATCTAACATTACCGGTTAAAAATGATGAGATACTCTTCCTACTTTACAATAGGATGGGACCCACTAAGTAACATAATGTACAGCCAAAGCTTAGGTCAACAAGCATCTAAGGATCCTCAACAGCAGACACACAATATAAATTCAGATCGCGGTGTACTAAAAATTTGCAGTACCTTGGGTCCCAATGCGGCGTAACTTCCTGTCCCTGATGTAGCGTCCATTTCCATGGAATCCCTGCCGACACATGGTGAATATTTTTTACCATCCTCCTCACAGTCAGGGTCAGAGTTACCACCCCAACGCGGTAAAAACTCCGAGGTGAAATCACTGTCAGACCAGCTTGAACCGTTGCTGCTGCTATTACTACTACAAGTAGTACATGTAGTGGTGGAGCCTGTTATGGTGGTGCTTGTGGTACAATGCAGAGGTGAAGAAACAAAGTCCAACGGCGGAGGTGGCGGTAACTTCTCATCGCGGAACGATGTCCACCGTATGATGTCCTTGACTCTCACGGTAATTTGGACTTGACATTGACTACCCTGCTTCCTTGATGAGCTTGGTGAGTTCTGTTTTGAGTCTTTTGACTGCTGCAGCCTCCTTGAAAGGCTTCTAGGTAAAAACGAGGGAGGTTTAACCGTGGTAAATGGGATGTTTTTGACTGCATTCATGAGGGAGTGGAATGCTGAGATTGTGGTGGAGGCTGCTTTTGATCTGCTTCTGAGTAGTTTTCTGGAAATGATATTGGTATTTTCTGAACATGAATTTAGGATTTTTGGGGTATTGCTTGGGTTGGTTGGTGATTGTCTTGGAAATGAATTGAAACCACTTGAAGAACATGAGTTAGAATTTTCACAGAGGAAATCTTTGAGGAGCATTCTTGGCCTTCGCTCTACTGGAAAAGGCTTTCTTTGATGTTGATCATGCACATTCATTTTTCGAAGATGAATAAATGAAGAAAATGAGAAAATAATTGTTACTTGACAACTCACAAATCACAATACTTCAAGCGTTGAGCTAGTCCTAAAGCCGAAGGACGAAGGCAGCAAGGCGAAAGGAAAATGGACAATGGCGACAATCAATTTAACGTAGCGAAAGGAACATAATAAACGACACCAGATGAAAGAAAAATTAGAACATGAATGTGCAAGGGGAGAGGAAGTATTGAACAAATGAAAGTGAAGCAAATATATAGGGGAAGTGAAGTGGGAGAGTGAAGAGTGAAAGTGAAAGAGAAGAGGAAGGAGGGGATTTATATTTAAAAGGGTTAGTGGGAAGTGATGAGAAGTACAAAAGAGAAAGGGAGAGGTAGCTTCTTACTTCGTTAGGGTGGGGATCTCCAGGTAATAGTTCCCTGTTCATTCATGCAAAATGTTTTTTATTGGGGTTAATTAAGTAAAAGAAAATTTTGAGAAGGTGAGTGGATCATGCATTGGAGAACAAAAATTTGGGAGAATGATAAAAAAATTTGGGGAAAATGACAAAAAAGTGTGGAGGGGTGGATGCTTCTGTTTTGCAGTTAATTTAAGAGAGGAAGGAGACCGACTCTGACTGGGGGAGTGAGGTATTGTGAGATGTCTAGGTCTTTTGGAGTCAAAAGCATGTTTTTGAGAGAAGGGAGGTTGAGCACTTTTAAATCTCTTTTGGAAAAATTGATAAATCTCTGTACTCTGTGTAATATGACCACATATTCACATGCAAAATATTGGATTTGTACTGCGTACTACAGCCCATTTATCTAAAGGGATCTTTACTTTTGAGTAAAAATGGGGACTAGTTGTAAGATTTACTCCACATTGAATTTCAACAATCCGAATCATCTATGTTGTAAGTGTCAATTCATAGATGATCTTTACAAAAATTCAATTTAATCTTAAACCATTTACTTATTTAATTATCGCGATAAAATTTCATTGTTTCTTATAGAACAAAGTATTTGTTAATTTCTTTGAACTCAATTAGATGTCTCAAATATTCGATTTGGCTAATATTTTGTAACGATGATCTATGAGGTCCAAGTTAAAAAATAAACAATTCAGACCATTGAAGTTTGATGTGATATGAACACCACGACTAATCTCTGTTTAGAAAAAAATAGGAATCCTCTCTCTCTCTCTCTCTCTCTCTCTCTCTGCCACTACTCTTAGGTAAATGCTAGAGAGATTGATTTGAACAGTTCCTTGTTTAGTATTTGTCATCATGGTATAATTAATGTACAAGGAAAATGTTCCACTCTCTCAAATGATTTGGCTTAATATGTTATTAGTTTATCAATCTAAATGATTCATCTTGTATATTTTTGTTCACATATAATGGATGGTTAGTATGATAATATAAAATGATTAATTTTTCAGTGTAGTCGCACTGAAGTATGATAATTTTTTATATAATATAATTTTACATAATGTAAATGAATTTTGGCTGGTATATAAACATGAAAGATGAGTAATTTTCTAGTTGTAATATTAACACTGTCATGTAACTTAAAACATAACAAAGAAATTGCCCCTTACTGAACTAACAAAAGGAAAGTATCAATAAGTTTCTTTTGGCCGGAAAAGTTGGTGTAATAAATTGACAAATCCAAAACTTTATCAACATGATAGGTTGCGTGAAATTTTTCAGGGAAAGGGATCCTCTTCGGATCCCTTCCACCGGACCCTTGAAATATGATCCAAAGACAAAAGTTATTGTAACTTTTACAGTAGACCCGTGTTTTTAGTCTTTAGATCAAATTTTAAGGCCTCAAATTGTTTGATGGGAAGGATTAGGTGGAAGAGATCTGGAGAGGATCCCTGACACATCCTGACCCGGATTGTCCACTAGGACTTCGAATCGAGTTGTGATGGCCGACACCTGGAAGATGACGATGCCATAAAGTATAATGATGTGGAATATGTGAATAAATTTAAACCTAAAAGTGCCTACATACGAGAGTGTGCTATGAGCGGAAACGAACTCATTTCACACGTGACGTCAGAGCATAAGTAAAGTACAGTAGAGTGGATTGAAAATCATACCATCGAAGGTAATCTCCAATACCAAGATTTGCCATGAATCATCGTCGATAAGAAATGACACACCCTGACTGAGGTCAAGGCATGCTGGCCGTCACGTGAGGGTGACGTAGCCATGTGCACAGTGTGGAAGCGATAAAGATAGCAATTATACGAATAATTAAAAACCAGATTACTAGAGTGCACTACTAAATGAAAGTGATAGGAGTTAGTTACAACAGTGAACACTCATAACCAGAGCATAAAGTCTAGGTGCAGTCCAGTAGGACAAGTACTAGTTACACAGTACTAGGAATGTCCTACTATTATTCAAATAGGTCAGAACTCCTACGATCCCGAGCCACCGACAGTAAGCTTACTTAAAACTTGGAGGGGCGCAAAACAGAAAACGTGAGTGGGCAAAAACAAATGTTTTACAAAACCATTTCATTTAACAACATATCTAATCCCTCGCTGTAAAACATGTATAATTTTTCCCAGAATCAAGATATAAGCATATACATAAATATATATGAAATCATATCAATTCAATTAATACTTCACATAATCATATTCATATCTATGCCATGCCAAGATATAACAGAGTAAGCAATTCAGGTAAGAACAATTTCATAGAAATCTGATATGTTAGCCGGAACTCCAGTGGTAGTCTGTACGGCTTAATTCATAGCTCAAACTCAATCTAGCGGGAGTCACTTCTATGACTTATACGACAATATACTACACATAAGTCGGAACCACTGAAAGGATCTGTACGACAAGATTGGGTGAAATATAATTATACTCAACTCTATTCTCTCATAATAGCCGGGTGATAAATCGCTAGTCACCTACAAGTCGGAACCATAATAAGGTATGTACGACAAGATAGTGCACTTAAGTTGGATCCAATATGAGCATATAGTGCGGGAGGTGACGTAAATAAACAGGCCTGTACTTCATATCTTTGGCTAATTCACAATCACCCTAGGGCAGCTTTATGAGCTCAACATTACTTAATCACATATCACATATTACATCATCGATGATTCACAAAACCAAACATAACTTACCTGAACTCATCTATGCCTCCATAGCACCACATTTATATATATATGCAACCATGCACTGCATATTCAAAATATAGAAGCATTTGGCATATTATTTCAAAGCATACTTTCCTTAAAAATGCATTTCTGGGAAATATATCAAGTATATAAATATATACTGAAAACAAAAGCCCACTCACTGATATGTCGAAGGGTCGTAGCCCCCGAGTCGCCCGTGGATATGCTTGTCCTCGGGATAAGTTTCACCTATATGTGAATTAACTATAAAAACATTATTTTTAAAGCACATAGGCAAACTAGCTAATAACTTCTCATACATTGCTCAAAATAGGTATATGAATATACCACAGTGATCTATACAACCTCAGGATCATCCCCATATTTTTAGAAATATTTTTGGACCTCCCACGCGCCACCACACGCAAGGAATCCTGACGGATTCCCTAACTGCCTTTAGGAATATTCCGTTAAAACCCAACGAAAACCGTCCAAATTAACAGATGCTGTGAGAATATTCTGTCCAAACTGACGGAATATTCTGTCTTCGTCCCTGGCGAGTCGCTGGTCATCAGAAAACTAGGTAAACTTTAAACTCACTATTCTCACTCGTTTCTCAACCGTTTTTCATGAACTTTGAACCAAATGAAAGCTTAGAGTGAGAAGAATGGTGTTATACCTATTTGGAGCTTCAAATCTCACGAAATCACATCGGGGAAGCTTCGAAATTCTGACTAAACCTGCAACTCTTCGTTTCCCACGATCTCGACGTCCAAAATTTTCAAATGAACTACCCCGAGACTCGTGAGGACCTCATTAAGCTTCCTATGAGCTTAGAATTCCCTGAAAACAACATGTTGATGCACAAAATCAGTGAGGACTTTGGTACAACAAAAAGTGTTAATTTTATGACCTTCGCTAGATTGCTCCGGTCACTAGTATGGATAAGTATGTAAATGGATAGAGACATGGAAGCAAACACAAGATGTACGTGGTTCACCCAGATTGGCTACGTTCACGGAGTAGAGGAGTTCTCATTAATTGTGAAGGGTTTACACAAGTACATAGGTTCAAGCTCTCTTTTTGTGAGTACTAGTGAATGATTTAGTACCAATGACATTAGGAAATATTGTGAGAGAATGATCTCTATTTATAGAAGAGAGTTTATAGTTTCATTCTGACATTGACACGTGTCGTGTTGTGATTGGCTTCTGATGTTGACACGTGTCGCGCTATGATTGGCTTCTGATGTCAACACGTGTCATGCTGTGATTAGCCTCCTGGTTAGAGGAAACTCTTCTGGGTCCTTGACGGTATAACGTTGACCGATGCTTAGTAGTTTCGGGATTGGTCAATTATGGTACAAACAGTGCTCCCCTAAGTTCCCGAGTGATAGAAGCTCATCGGTTGGGGATTTGCAAGATCCAAGCTATTGAGTAATCACGAAACTTCTAAGTACCGAAGTGGTTTCATTTTCACTTGCCTTATCTGTCTCATATGTAGATGTGGCATCTTTTCTAAAGTACTTTTCCTTCATCCAGAGGTGGTATCTTTAACCGATGAAGATGCACAAGGTAATGTATCAATTTCACTTGAAGCTTACTTGTAATTTCGACCTTGGTCAAGTGTGATACAAATCCTATAGTAAAAGTCCCCCAAGTCACCGAGCTAGGAGATTTGCCGAAGGATGTAACATACAAGGTAAACAATCAGACTTCCAAGTAAACAACCTAGATCGGAGGTTCGACTTCGGCTTCCGGTTGATTGTTCTCCTTCTCCTTGTGTCGTAAACAGCAACAAAGATAAGGAGAAAAAGCAAATGGAGAAGAGATGATATGAGATAATTTTGCTTTTAAAGAAGTAACTTTCCACAGGCTTATTCTTGAATTGGGCTGGAGGGTTTTCTGGTTTCCTCCAAAGTATAAGGTTGTCTCAAGAATTTGAGGGTCAAAACAAGTCCATCAAATCTAGAGTATGTTCAACCCTGATGATATGGGATACTTTTGCTGTTGACAAAGTAATAGATGAATCGGCACGTGTTCTGTTGCGCTTATCTCCACATGCTTCCTTGTATCCTTCTCACTTGCCCTATCTGTTCCTCAGACAGATGTGGTATCTTATTTGGAAGCATAAAATGTTGAAGATGAGTACTCGAGAGCAATGCCAGGTAAGTAGTCAGGCAAGGGGTTCCAGGCAGTCAGTTCTCGACTGGAAGCTTGATTCCAAGTGCTGACTGATTGCTCTCTTTCTCCTTGTCTTGCAGGTAAAAACAAAAGCCAAAGGAAATGACAGGGAAAAAGCATGATATGGGATACTCTTGCTTTTAACCCTGATGATATGAGATACTCTTGCTCTAGTGTGGCTTGTTTGCAGAGGTATTATCGGGAGGAAAAAAAGTTGAGTATTTCAAGAGACTCTACTGAGAGTGCCCTCTCTGATGTGAAGACCAGTTGAGCATTTTTTTTTATTTGTAGGTCTGCCTGGCTGTGGAGGATGGAAGTCGACATATATAGGAGTCTCC